GCGATACCCACAACTGCATATGGTTGGGTCCTTCGCCAGGCTAATTTTTTCTCAAAATCCTCGATCTTCTAGGGTTGGAAGCGGGAAAACATGAGAAGGCGGAAAACATTAGAAAAACCATTGGAAATCAACGATGATACCCTCTTTGGGCTCTCTCGGGACTGCTCTCGCAGCTCTCTTGGGCTGTTCTTGGAGCATCGTCGGGGTCATTTTGGGGCCTCTCAGGGATCGTGGATGTGTTGGGGCGTCTGGGGGGCCCGGAGGCCTCTGGAAGCCTCCTGCTCCCGCTCTTGGGCCCATCTTGGGCCCGTTCTGGGGTCACCTGGGAGCCTCGAGAGCCGTCGGAAGGCTGACTTGAGCTGCTTGGGAGCGTCTTGGGCCATCCTTTCGCATTCTGAACGCTCCTGGGAGGCGTCTTTTGGCCCCTCCTGGAGCGCTGTGGAGGCTCCCCAGAAAGGCCGGAGGAGCGGTACCGGGAGCTTTCCCGAGGTGTGGGACCCAGGGCCGGGGGGGGGGTCCATATTTAAATGATTAACATAATGATTAATACTAGTATCATTACCTTTATCATTCGTAATAATATTATTAACATTATTATAACATGATTATTACTAGTAGTATTAGTAGTATTCTTAGTATTATTATTATTGTTGCTATTATTGTTGTCATTATTGTGATTACTATTATTAGTATTAATATCGATATGAGTATTACTAGTATTACTAGTATTAGTATGATCATCAGTGTTATTAGTAGTAGTATGAATATTATGTTTATTCTTATTATAAATAGATGTATGAGTCGAATTCGAATTATTATTGTGATTATCACTATTATCCGATATAATATTATATATACACACACTGGCCTACGGACTATCCTGCCACGGTGCCCGGATGTGCGAGGCCTCTCGGGTGTTCGTCGGTACCCCGTTAGAAGCCTCGTCGGGGCCATTTTGGAGCTTCTTGGGGCCTCCTTCGGGCCTCGCGGGGGCCTCTCGGGGGCCTCGTGGTGCTTCTTCGGGGCCTCTTAGGGCCTCCTGGGGGCCTGTGGGGGCGAAAGGTCTTGGGCACCTCTCGCGGCCGCTCTGGGGCCCTTATTGGGTCGTCTTTGGGGGCCTCTAATGCCGCCCTGGGGCCCTCTCGGGTCGCCTTGGGGCTCCCAGGGAAGCATCTGACTCCGTCCTTGGGGTTTCTTGGAGGCCTCCTGGGCCTTCGCGGGGCGGTCTGGGGAGCCTCTTGAGCCGTCGTGGAGCGTTGGAAACTCCAAAAGGCTTGAACGCAAAAATGCTTCAAAGCCTCATGAAGATCATTCATTTGGGCCTCTTGGGGTGCTCGTGGAGGTCCTGTTGGAGTCTTCTTGGGCCGCCTTGGGGGACTCTTGGGCCGTCCAGCAAGCTTCCTGGGCAGTCTGAAGCTATTGGAGGCCGTCTTCGGGGCAGCTCGGGGCAGTCTCGGGTTGGCCATCGCTCGGACGTCCGTTCCCTGTGTTTTTGTTCGGTTTCCTGCGCGGGTTTTTCGCCAAAAAGGATCAAGGATGCTCCTCGATGGTCCTCGCCGAGAAAAAAATATGCACACGTCCGAGCGATGCCAGGTGGGCCGTCGGGGCGGCCGCCCGATCGCTCCGCGGGCTGCTCGGCGGCCCCCCGACGGCGGACCCCGGCCCGGAGCCCGGCGGCCGCGTCGCAGACGCGCGGCGGGGGATCCCCGGGGAGCACCTGCACGCTCGGGGCCCGGCGGCCGCGGTGTGCCAGGCGCGCCAGGCGGGGCGGGGAACCCACCAAGCTTCAGGTCGGGCCTGTCCCCCCTATTGGGCGCCCGAATTATCCGGGGTAACTCGGGTCCGGGGTAACTCGGGTTCGGAGTCCCGAAGAAGGAACCCGAGTTATCCCTGACCCGAGTTACCCCTGATGATTCGGGGCTCTTGGACGCCCGATTCATCCGGGGTAACTCGGGTCCGGGGTAACTCGGGTTCGGAATCCCGAAAAACGAACCCGAGTTATCCCTGACCCGAGTTACCCCTGATGATTCGGGGCTCTTGGACGCCCGATTCATCCGGGGTAACTCGGGTCCGGGGTAACTCGGGTCTGGATTCCCGAAAAGCGAACCCGAGTTATCCCTGACCCGAGTTACCCCTGATGATTCGGGGCTCTGACCCCCTACAGGCGGATCTTGGGTGAAAAACCAAGCACTGTCACAAAAGATTCAGCCATGCTCCAAAAACGGTCAAAACATAGTCCCAGGATGAATTACGTTTTCACTATGTTTGGATCTTCCTCCTGTAGAGGGACAGGCCCGACTTGAAGCAGGCTCCACCTGTCGGCTGGGAGATAAACCATCGCAGGTCCGCGCGGCGCATTTCTTCAATCGGCGCTGGAGTCCCCCTCCCTGGCGCGCGGAGACCCGGGGACTCCGCTCACCCCTCCCAACCCCACAATTCTATGCTTGCGTACTTGACTTTAGGTCGGGCACGTCCCCCTACAGGTAGATTTTGGACGACAAACGAACAGTGGTAAAAAAATATGCCCAAAATATTGAACAATGCTACAAAGATCGTTCCCCAGACTTTTCGTTTAAAACTAGTTTTGAGCATTCCCCCTGTAGAAAGACACGCCCGACTGAAACTCAATTGCTTGAGAATTTGGAGGCTCAGGAAGAGCCCCGAGGGGGCACAAAAACGGCCAGCGGAACACCTCTGGACGGCCAGCTGAGACTTTGCGGCGCGCACAAGGGGGTGGAGGGAGGGGGGTGGAGCTTCTTAGACGGAGTCTGCTTCTTAGAAGGCGCCGGCCTTACGTCCATAGACAAGGCCCGCGCCTTCTAAGAAGCAGGGTTGCTTCCAAGAAGCCCTCCCCCCTCTCCCCCTCCCCCTCTGCGCGTGGCTGAGAGACGGCAGCGACTCTCCCGCCCGACCACATCCACCCCAAATGGGTCCCCAGGCCCCACCTGGGAGCCATCCCTCGGCGGTGGACCAACCTCCCTTTAGGAAACCACCCCCTTTAGTGAAGACGGCCTACAGGACCGAAGCCGACGGACCTGGACCGGCAAAGACAACGGCCGTGACGCCCTCTCGCGAACCGAAAACGGCCCACTCACCAATCGACGTGTCAGGGTAGGATCGGGCGTTGGCAGAACTGGGTTTCGTGGGACCTCGTTTCAATGATGTGTACTGGGGGACGCCCTCCAGCCCCATTCCACTAACCGGAACTGCCGTCACCCGAAGAAACACCAGCTGCGGCAGACCTGGTTTAGCGATTCTGGCCAATTTAGGGGCTCCAGGGCCCTACCGCTGAACGGGTCCCCTTACCTGGGGTCCTGGCTATACCCGACAGGAGGTCGATCAAACTCCGGATCCCGAGGCGCTTTTCGCTGCGGATGCAGCCCTGGCGACGCGAGGCCTCCTGGCGGCCCAGGAGAAGGCCGCCGGTGCCTCGACCGGCCTTTTTTCTTTGGGCCCCGTCGCCACGGCGGAATCCGCCTCGAGATCCTGGCGAGAATGCACTGCAGGACAGGCCTATCGGGGAGACGTAAGCAGGGAACCGAACTCTACACACCGACGCAGATTGCTGACCCTGCACCGCAATAATTTGCATAGGAAAGTGGATCCTGGTGTATACGGGACCCTGGTGTACATGCTTTCCGTTGTTTTCCCAGGGAACGGATCAAAAACTATACACCACACCACCCCGACGTCGTCCCCGACCCTCACAGAGTCCTGGGAATGAAAACAGCCCGCCACTGGTAATGTATGTGTTCCACTTTCCGAGTAAGACTCGGGTACGGGGGACTCCGATTGGCCCGACGGGTCCATCACGAAAATGACGAGACCCCGTCTGAAATTTGACGCGAACTCCCGCTGCAAACATCCCACGAAAACTGGACCGTCAAAATCCATGACGCGCTCGTCAAAAAAGTCGGCAAACCCGAATTGTGGCTTACTCGAGTCTGACGTTTCCCCGAGTCTTGCTCGAACGCCGTCAGCCCAGATCCCCGACTTGGCGGACCTCAGGCTGGCCAAGTAATTTCGAGCCCAACTCTGGCTCTGTCTGTCGTTCCACAGGGAGGCGCAAGAAGCGGCTGGACACTGCTTGAAACCGAAAGTGTCGCAGCTAACATTGCTAGCCTGGCCTTGACTTGCAAATTCGGTGGATGGGGGGAAGGATATAGGAGGGGCCCCACTCAGAGATATACGATGGGGGGCCGTCCATCCTCCATGGTGGTGAATGTGGCAGCCCCCTGGGGATGTATCTTCGAACTCACTGCGTTTCTAAGCGTGCAAAATGTTGCGGGAACCTCGGAGATTGGGTGCGCTGGATCGCCGGCGACCTCATCCTGTGACGCCTTCCCTGTCTTTCGCAAATGCTCATCCTCTCATCCTCATCCTCCTACTGACAACCCAGGCATCGAATATCTTGAAAAGCCGCGTTTCGTTCTCACACTTTCCAACCTGCGGAACCGATTGTCGGGCACCCGCTCCGTCAGACAAGCACTCAGAGTTGAAAAGCCTGCCCTGGAGCGAGGATTGAGACCGCATCGAACAAATGACGACATCGGATCTCTGGACCCCGGCCCCTGTACTGGGATGGGTCGCCCCCCCCCCCCCCCCACCTCTGACGTACCCTAAGGGATGTCTTGCGCATGCCAACAATGTTTGCGCATACCACAACCAAAGTGATCGTGTCGAAGTCGGTGAGTTCTCCCCCCGAGGGGCCCTCCAGAAAAAAAACACTTGTCGTTGTGGCTGTGGCTCCTTGGATAAGGATGCAGGGGCCTTGGACGCCCATTTCGAGGCTCTTCGAGCGGAGCGCGGCCAACGAAAGTGGCCAAGGATGGACCGAGGAGGCAAGGATGCAAAGGTACCCTTGGGAAGGTTGCCCATCCTTACTATGCGGGTTGACGAGTCGGATTGAGCGAGCCGAAACAACCAATGTCGAATCAGCTCGATCGTGTCGAAGTGAACCCTGGTCGGAGGTCTGGGTTACGCGCGGCGCGACCGCGGTCCACGGCGTCCAGTTCGCACTTCACCAGGACTCGGTCCTGCGGCAGGCTGGGATCGCACGGCCTGGACTGCTGCCACACTCGCAACGCGCATCAATTATCATATTTGCCATGGCTGCCCATGGTCTCCATCATATTGCTGCCCATGACACTACCAGGACGCCCGTTGCGATTGTGCGGCTGCCTACTGCCGCTTCGGTATCTGCCGCCGCTGCGGCTGTTCCCTCTGTCGCTACCTTGCCTGCTACCTGGCCATAGCATATGGCGGCCGCTGTCAGAGGTAGCAGCCAAGGTAGCCTGGCTTTGAGCGGCAACCACAACAATGCGGATGCATGATACGATCACCACAAGCAGGCAGCAACGTTGCTGCTGCTACCATCGCTGTCGTTGCTCGTGCTGCGATCTCTACCACCAGAACTACCACCACCATTCCTTCAACGACGAATGATAGTAGTGCGATTGCAATTACTGCAACATGCACCACCCTCACCGATGGCCGCACTAGAAACTAGGATTACCAAGAGTATTAGTTCCCCGTACTGCTACACTTACGGGACTGCAGATTGTGGCGGCGAATACGAGTGATGCTCCTAGTCTGGCTGTTGAGGCTGTTTTCGCGACCGCAAGCAGCAGCCCCTCGGTGAGATGCAATACCACTATGGTGACGATCGCAAGCGCCACTACGCCTGCTAATTCTATAATGCACCTCCCGTTAATTCCCGAAAAAAAGCGAAGTCGCCAGTAACATGCACGCGGCCGGCTGCTTCACCGAGTCAGCACTTGGCAGAACAGCGACAACAGGGCGAACCTGCTGCCGAGAGCGCTGCCAACATGGGCGTGGATGACGCATGCGGGCGGTGGCGCTGGGGCCTTCGGTGGAGCTCCCGCTGGGGCCACGAAGCGTGTGAGCGGTGTGCCGAAATTTGTGTGCGTGACGCATGCGGACGGTGCCACTGGGGCCTTCGGTGGAGCTCCCTGTGGGGCCACGAAATGTGTGAGGGGTGTGCCGAAATGGGTGTGAAATGTGTAATGGGTGCCGAAATAAGTGTGCCGGAGGCATTTCAAGCTGCGAAGCTGTGGAGGCAAACCGCTGGGGCCCTTGCCGTGCGGCACGGCCGCGGCGCAGGGCCGGTCGCGGCCGCGCTCGAGAGCTTGACAGAGCTGCAGCTCTGGTCCGACTCGAGCGTTGGACTGCTGTGCCAGCCGCGCCCGAGGGTTGTTGCCCTGCCCAGATGCCCCTGCAGGACACGCGAACGGTGCTGGTGGAGGCGTGGTCCCAGCGCGAGGACCGGCGCCTAGCCAGCAGGCGCGCTGACTTCCAGCACGTCGACGTTGGCGCCGATCGCTGGGCAACGAGGCGGCCCCTGACCAGCGGCTCGCTGGCGGCAAACGCCGCGGGGGCTCTGCGCGCGGTGCTCGCAGGCAAAGTGATCACCGAGTCCGTTGCAACGAAGTGTGGGCGGCCTGCCTCTTGCCCGCACTGCGGCGCGCCCGTGGAGGACCTCGAGCACCGCATGTGGATCTGCCCGCGCTGGGAGCCCGAGCGCCGAGCGGCGATGCAGCCAAAGGGTTTCACTGCGGAGGCCGCCCGCGCCTGCCTGCCTCCCGAGGCAATGCGCACTGGCGTCTTGCACCGGAACCCTCGTTTGGCTGTCCTCACGGAGGTGGCGCGGCTGCCCTTGTCGCTGCCCGCGCCCCCCGACCCGCTGGCCGGCTTCCCAGCCACGTCGCAGCGCAGGCCCCGCGCCTGGGCGGACGGCTCCTGCGAGCGCCCGGGCGACCCCCTCCTCGCCAGAGCTGGCTGGGGCGTCCGGCGTCCGCATCGAGGACGGCGCCGGGGGCCACGCGGACCGCCATGGCCCCGTCGATGGAGCGCAAGCCGCCCAGCGCGCAGAAGCCTGGGCGTGCGTGCAGGCGCTGCACTTGGCGGGTGGCTGCGTGGAGGTGGTCACCGACTCCCGCTTCGTCAGCCGCTGGGTCGCAGCGCTCCAGGGCGGCGCCAGCCCGGCTGACTGGGCGCACGCACACTTGTGGGAGGCAGTCGCCCCGCAATGCCGCAGCGGGGTGCTGCACGCCCGCTGGGTCAAGGCGCACCTCGACGCCGACTAGGCGCGCGAACGCGGCATGTCCGAAGAGGGCCGCGCGGGAAACGCAGAAGCAGACCGCCTGGCGGGGCTGGCCGCCGAGGCGCGAATGCCTGCGACCGCGTTGCGCCAGGAGCGCCAGCGGCAGCTCGACGCGTTAGCCGCGGTGCAGAGGGTGATGGCGTTCATGCGCCGCGCGGCGCCGCGGGGCCGCGCGTTCGGCATCGCTGGACGGCGCCGCGTGCCTCGCGGCCTCGCCAGGCCCCGCTGGACGCCGCGGTTCGCTCGCTGTTCGCCAGCCACGCCTGGCGGCCGCACGCGGCGCCCCAAGGGCCAAGATGGGTCGCTTGCCTCCGCTGCGCCGGGTGTGTCAAGCAAAGGCGCGGGTTGGCGAAGTGACCGTGCGCCGGCTGGGTTCAGACGCTGCCACCGCGTGCGGCGGGCCTGCTGCTGCTGCCCGCGGCCCGCGCCGGTGGCGCCGAGGCCGACTGGCGGGCGGCGCTTCGGGCGCGGCTCGCCACGCGTCCCGGCGCGCCCGAGGCGCCAGGCTAATTAATTGAATTGGCGACGCCACCGCTGGCGCAGGTGCGGGCCGCGCGCTCGACGCAACCCCCTCTTCCTCCTCCTCCTCCTCCTCCTCCTCCTCCTCCTCCTCCTCCTCCTCCTCCTCCTCCTCCTCGTCCTCCTCGTCCTCCTCGTCCTCCTCGCCCTCCTCCTCCGCCTCCTCCTCCTCCTCCTCCTAGTCCTCGTCCTCGTCCTCGTCCTCGTCCTCGTCCTCGTCCTCCTCCTCCTCCTCCTCCTCCTCCTCCTCCTCCTCCTCCTCCTCCTCCCCCCCTCCTCCGCCAGTAGGCTTTCTCCGCGCTGGTAAAAAGTGTGAGGGGTGTGCTGAAATTGGTGTGCGAGACGCATGCGGGCGGTGACAACAAGGCCTTCGATGGAGTTCCCTATGGGGCCACGAAACGTATGAGGGATGTGCCGAAATTGGTGTGCGTGACGCACGCGGGCGGTGGCACTGTGGCTTTCGGTGGAGCTCCCTATGTGGCGTGACGCATGCGGGCGGTACCTGGGTCTTCAGTAGAGCTCCGTGGGGCCACGCATCGTGTGAGGGGTGTGTGTGCCGAAGTGAGGGGGGTGATGGGAGGAGGAGGGGGAGGAGGAGTGAGGGACGCGGGGCGCTGTCTCTTCAAAAGAAGGACCCGACACTACAGGATGGTTGGGTAGTTTCCGGAGCCGCGGAACATGTCTAATCGTTGCCTGGACAGTGGGATGACGGGACCCCCCCTTGGCGTTTTCTAAGCTTTTGCTCGCGCATTATCCGTGCTCGCTGTCGGCCAGGGGCCCTAAGCCAGACCTCGCGGCTACGACCAAGCTCTGACCGCCGAGGTTCCGCGGTTAGAACTTGATCTTAAATGGCGATGGAGCAGGGGGAGGGGGAGGAGGAAGATCAGGCGTATACTCTGTACCCCGTGGGGCAGGCAAATTTATCTTGGCCTCATTTGCCCATGGTGTTCCGCTGCGCCTGTCCGACTTGATTCGTTGGCCTCTGAGCCTAAAAATGTGTTTTCACGCGCCTTTGTTTCCCCCACAGACGCCACAATCCTAGAATCAAGTCCGCGCGATGTCAAGGGGCGGCGAGGTCCCGAGGTGGTCCGCGTGGGACCCACCTCCGCTGGGCCTCCCAGGAGCCCGCGAAAGCGGCGACGGTTGCGCAGATCACAGACGGCACGAGAGAAGAGGAGAGGGGAACACGGGAAACAGGGGAGAAGGAGGAGAGGAGCAGAGGAGGAGGAGGAGGAGGAGGAGGAGGAGGAGGAGGAGGAGGAGGAGCTGGAGACCACACTGCTCTATTCAAGACGAGTGCCCAGCACAGGAGGGCTGGGCAGGAAGAGCAGGAGGAGGGCACGAAGGCAGTCGAAGCCTCGACGCCGCGAGACCCCGAAACCTCGCACGGGCGCCCCGCGGCGCAGCGCCCGGCCGCGCCAGCCCCCTCCCTCCTCGGCGAGCCCGCGGCCACGGGGGGGGGGGCGGAGGGCCAAAGTTAGGTCGGGCATGTCCCCCTACAGGCCGATGTTCGACGAACAAGGAAAACTACGCAAAAAGTACTCCAACATTACTGCTAGAAAATACCAGAAAAATCACCCCCATACGCTCTTGGTTGGAACTATGTTTGAATAGTCCTCCTGTAGAGGGACAGGCCCGATTTAAGGCCAAAGGGAGGGTTGGCCGTCCAGCGCGGCGTCGTCCAGCGTCAGCAGCTGCGACAGGTCCTGGGGCGCAGCCACCGGCGATGCACCAGGCGATCGAAACTCCAGCCATGCCCCTGCTCACGCCAGGGCGGAACATGCGTGAGATCCTGGCCTCCTCCGAGGCCACGCTCCTGGAAGAACAAACAGCTGGCCATCGCTCGGACGTCCATTCCCTGTTTTTTTCGGTTTCGGAAGTCCGCGCGGACTTCTCGGATCTGTTGGCGCGCGGAGCGCGCCAGGGGCGGCGCTGGAGGCGCCGTCGGGGGGCCCCAGCGCGGATCCAAGAAATCCGCGCGGAGCGCCAAAAGTTTATGTTTATGGCGTTTTTCTTCTTCTGTACCCTGCTGCACCTTGCGTCCAGAAGCGGGGGCAGCAGCAGGGGTATGGATCGAAGGTCGGCCACCGATGCACATGCCGATGCCAGGTCGTCGCCTCCCTACCACGGGTCTGCCTCCAGAGCGGTTCGGAAGACCTGGATCTGGTCATTGTGGTGCAGTCCCTTTTCTTCCATAAGTTAGACTTCGAATAGAGAACCTGAGGAAAAACTAGACAAACTGTCAAGCAATTCCGGAACACTGAGTCCTCCCAAACGAGGAGGGTTCCTTCTTCAGCGGCCCAATTGTAGTCATGGTGCTGGGTCCACTCACGATCAATATGAATTCGCTGCCACTCTTGATTAAAGACGCGCCACTGATATCTGGACAGCTCGGAATCTGAAACAAAGCTCGCATTTGGCATGACAAGTCGTAACAGCATTCAGCTATTCAATCCGCGCTTTGAAGATCGACAAGCATATAACGAACACAAGCATAAGCTGCCACAGGTCCGCGGGGAGTCAGTGGATCGGCATCGGCTGGAGGCGGCGGGGGGATCTCAACTGCACGGGGCCCCAGACAATCGATCAAGAGGAGGGGAGGATGCCAAATCTGCAAACATCGGTCACCAGACCTCTGCCCGGGGTCCACCTAGGAAAGCTGTCCCACCCGAGGAGGAGGAGGAGGAGGAGGAGGAGGAGGAGGAGGAGGAGGAGGAGGAGGAGGAGGAGGAGGAGGAGAGAGAGAGGAGGAGGAGGAGAGGAGGAGGAGGAGGAGGAGGAGGACGAGGACGAGGAGGAGGAGGAGGAGGAGGAGGAGGAGTAGGACAGAACGCCTGCTCGAACCCCGGGCACCTCGGACCTCGCCCCCCCCCGCTCCCTGCTCGCTGGAGCCAGTGCGGGACCACGCCTCCGACTCCGAGCCAGCTCCAGTAGGGCGACGAGATCTATGCATACCCACTGCTCCCGGCCAGGCCAATCCTGGGCCCAAGAGCTGTGAATACGCCCTCCTGGCTTGGCCAGGGAGGCATATACACCGCTCCTGGGCCCAGGATGGGCCTGGCCAGGAGCAGTGGATATGCATAGATCTCGTCGCCCTATCCAGGTCAGAGGTCCGCGCAGCGTGAGTGGGTTTTGCCGTGTTTGGCCAACACGGCAAAACACGGCAACACGGGGCCGGCAAAAAAACGGCCCTGTCGTTTCCAGGGCCCACTAGGAGCCAGACGGCGTGCGCCTTCTTCGGGGCGCGAAGCGCGAAGCACGAACTTGGACGCCCGAAATGGGTACGGAAACAATGGGTACACTGCCCAACAACAGATGTTGTCCCAAACCAACAGCGGCCGCTGTTGGGCAGGCGGCCTTCTGTCTCGAGTGGACACAGGCCGCGGCGACGTGGACAGCGAATCCTGTTCAAAGTGAACAGGAACTGCTGTTGGGCATCGTACCCATTCTTTCCGTGCCCATTTCGGGCGTCCAGAACGAGGGGAACTCTTTGATGACGCCGCGGAGCCGGCGGGGGAGCTGTCGATGGCACCCGCATCCCGTACTTGAAGCGGGGCGCATCCTGCCCAGAGCCCCCTCTTCTTCCTCCTCCTCCTCCTCCTCCTCCTCCTGCTCCTCGTCCTCCTCCTCCTCCTCCTGCTCCTCCTCCATCCTCCTCTTCCTCCTCCATCCTCGTCCTCCTCCATCCTCGTCCTCCTCCTCCTCCTCCTCCTCCTCCTCCTCCATCCTCCTCCTCTTCCTCCTCCTCCTCCTCCTCCTCCTCCTCCTCCTCCTCCTCCTCCTCCCCCTCCTCCACCCCCCTCCTCCATCCTCCTCCTCCATCCTCCTCCTGCTCCTCCTCCTTCTCCTGCTCCTCCTCCTCCTCCTCCTCCTCCTCAATCCTCCTCCTCCTCCTCCTCCTCCTCCTACTCCTCCTCCTCCTTCCTCCTCCCTGGGGTCTGGAGGGGACCGCGACGCGTCGGAGCGTCCAAGATGTCTCAAACATGGCTCCACGCCGTCTCGCCTCTTGGCTTCCGGTGAGCTTCGGGTTCCCCCGGATGGTGCCAAGATCGCTAGAGAGAGAGCCCCAAGAGGTGCCCAAGACGGCGCAGTGCCGCCCCGAGCGCCCTCCAAGAGTGCCCGAAAAAACTACACATTTGGCTCCGACGGGAGGGCGTAATACGAGACGCCCTCTCTCTGAATCGATGGCCTCCAAAATGGCCTCAAGAGATCCCTCAGGACCCCCAAGATGGCCAAAACATAGCACAACAGGCTTCCAACATGAACCCAAGAGGGCCCAAATAAGCTGCCAAGAGGCTCCCAAGTAAGCTACCAAGAGGCTGCCGCGAGAGCATGCATGGTTGATTCCAGGGCCTGTTCAGGCTCAACCCAATCTTCGGTTTGACGGCTGTCCCCCCCGTGGTCAAGTGCTTGCTCCTATACTTCCCTGATCAGGGCAACTCGCCTGGGCATCGTTTCTGTAGATGGGCTGGTGGGGATACGCGATGCGTCAAACAGTATGCTTACTTGTGCACTGTCTTGTTCTTCGACTGCAGGGGTCGCCTGTGTCGCGTGCGACGCGATGAGGAGCGGGCACTCGCCTGGCTTCCCGAGGAGTAAGATCAGATAGTGGCCGCCGGATGCCAGAGGGAGCCAAAGACGTCCACGAACCTCGATCCTCGATCCTCAGACCTCCTGGTGCGGGAGGGGGGCCTGTATCCCGTGCGCCGCGATGACGAGCGCGTACGCGCCGGGCAGGCTGTGCATCTCGAGGAAAGAAATCAGATCCTGCAAGGGGGGGATTGAGCAAAAGTAAACTGGGACCGTGTGAAGAGGGGGAAACACCGACTTGGTTGGAATCGGCGATGCATCGCCGATCGATCCGCGACAGCCTCCCGATAGCAAAACCGGACGCTCCTGGGCGGGACGGGCTGCCGGGCTCCAAAACTGGCGATCAATGGATCCGGCGCGTGGGCCCCCGATCCAAGGATCGGGAAGAGCTCTCCCCCGGCAACACGAGCCCAATGCCGCCTCTGAGCCGGCGGCGGAACGCGCAGACTGTGCCGGGGACACGGGACGTGTCGCCAGTCCAGGCGCCGTTTGTGCACGCTTGCGCGCTGCCTCGAGATCAGGGGCTGGAGCGTCCTCCCCCGAGCGTGTCCCTCCACCGAGGTTGCCACCCCCCCCTGGCTTCTGGCCATACCTCTGCGCTCGGGCGGTCGTTCGGGAGGACTCTCGGGCACTCCGGGAACGCTCTCGGCGAGGAGAAGCTGCTGAAAGCAGTCTCAATTAGGCTGGAGCGCCGACGAGATCCTACGAAAGCGTCCAGCAACCTCGATCCATGGAGCCTTCTGTCTCCCCCCGAACCTCCCTGAATTGTTGTTTGCGTCTGCGCTTCCTCGAGAATGGGGGTCGAGATCGTTTGCTTGATCCTTACATTGCACAGTTGTGTTCTCGAGCTCAGGCACCTTTCTCTTCGTGGTCGTGCGCAGGGCTGAACCTAACCGGTGCTTTTCGTTTCCGTTTTGTTGTCGTGCTCCCTCATGTTGTCTTCAGTCCGCCTTTTTCGCGCAAAACGAACTCGAAACGAAAACGGCCCACGAAATCACCAAAACACCGTTTATCGCGAGCGGCCAAGAGGGGGGTGTCCAAGAGGGGAGGTGCAAATCATGACCGGCTGCATGTGCGCGGCCCAGCGGGGGGGCCAGGGACGTGATGAAATGAGAAGAGGCGCCATGAAATCTGGGGAAATAGCATGGCCCACGCCATGAGATCCCCCCCCCTAGTCATCACCCCCCTCTTTGCCGCCCCCGAGTTTAGGTCCACCCCTGGCCGTGCGCCCTTCCCCCCCGGGCCTCCCTGGCCCCCTCTCCGGGTGAGCTCAGCGGGGCCTCCCCGGGCCCTCGTGTTCCCTCGTGTTGTCTTCAGTCCGCCTTTTTCACGCAAAACGAAACCGAAACGAAAACGGCCCACCCCTGGCCGTGCGCCCTTCCCCCCCGGGCCTCCCTGGCCCCCTCTCCAGGTGGGCTCAGCGGGGCCCCCCCGGGCCCCGCTCCCGCCCCCTGGTCGCGGAGCCCTGCATCTTTCGTGGTCGTTCGCCCTCGCACCCGGGGCTTCCTGGTCTCCTCCACCGGCGGCGGGCGAAGGGGGGAAATGAGAAGGAGAAAGCCCTCTCAGAAGGTGGCGGGGCTTCTCGAAGCCCTGGCGCGGCTTCCGAGAAGTCTTGGGCTGTCGTCGGGGAAGGCTCAGGAACCTCCGCAGAAGCCCGGGAGGCTTCCAGGCCCTCTGCGAAGGCCCGCCCCTTCCCACTTCCCCCCCCTCGCTCGCCGCCGGTTTCTGGGGCCGCGGAGCCCACCCGCGGAACCCACGCCTGGCCCCCCTACCCTACCGCCCCCCCCCCCCCGCTGGGCATCCCTGGCGCGGAACCCTTCCCTGTCCCTTCTCGCTCGCCCTCGTGCGGCTCCCTGGCATCCTCCCCTCCTCGGGGCCGCGGAACCCACCCGCGGATGCCACCCCTAGAGGCCTCCTAGATGGGGTCCGAGTAGATGGGGTCGGAGGATGGCGCCGCATCGACGATACATCGACGATGCATCGGCGATGCATCGGCGATGCATCGGCGATGCACCAGCGATGCATCGTCGACGTCAGCGATGAATCGGCGACGTCGACGTGAAGCAAATCGGGCTCCACGTCCAGCCGCATCGGCGATGCGTCGGCGATGCGGCGCGCTCCTTCGACCCCATCTACTCCGGCCCCATCTGGGAGGCCTAGAACCCCTGGGCCACGCCCCCGCCCTTGGCCCACCGAGCCTGTTCCTGTTTGTGGTCGTTCGGCCCGCCCTTTTCCCCCTCCGCGGCTCCCCAGGCCTCCTCCCGGCGAGGCCGCGGGGCCCCCCAGCGGAGCCCCGAGGAGGAGGAGGAGGAGGAGGAGGAGGAGGAGGAGGAGGAGGAGGAGGAGGAGGAGGAGGAGGAGGAGGGGGGAGGAGGAGGGTGAGGGGGGGAGGGGGAGAACGAGGAGGAGGAGGGGGAGGAGGAGGAGGAGGAGGCGCATGCCCCCCCCTGGACCTCCCTGGGCTTCCCTGCGCATCCCACCCCGGTTGGGCCACGGAGCCCACCCCTGGCCCGCAGCCGGGCCCCGCGCCCGCAGCGGGCCGAGGAACAGTCTGCTTGCACGGTCGCTCGTCCTCCGTGCTGCGCCGCCCTGGCTCCCCTCCTAAAACAGGGCCAGGATCGGGACAAATCGCTCCAGGGCGTTCCGGAGCGCTCTCAGAGCGTTCCGGAACGCTCTGGCGCGGCCGCGGCGCCCAATACATCCTCCAAACCCGCCGATTCTCAGAGACTTCGAATCATCCCGATCCGATTTGGTCCCGACCTTCGCGTCGTTGTACCTCCCTTTCTGGGCCGCGGAGCCCGCCCGCGGAACCTGCCCCTGGCGCCCCTGGGCCTAGCCCGGGGCCTCCCTGGCCCCCCCCCCCCCCGGGCGGGCCGCGGAGCCCACCCCGTGGCCCCCTTCCGGGCTCCGCCCCCGCCCCCGGGGGATATGCTGGCGGCGCGCCCCATAGGGGGCGGAGGGGGGGGGGGAGGGCTTCTCAGAAGGAGGGGGGAGGGCTTCTTAGGAGGAGGGGAGAGGGAGGGGGCTGCTCAGGAGGAGGGGGAGGGAGGGGGGAGGGAGGGGGGAGGGCTTCTCAGAAGGAGGGGGGAGGGCTTCTTGGAAGGCTTCTCAGAAGGAGGCAGGGGGGATAGCTTCTTAGAGGGAGGGGCGCCTTCTCAGAAGCAGGGGTGCCTCTAAGAAGCCCTCCCCCCTCCCCCACCCCACCCCCCTCTGCGCGTGGCTGAATAATTATGGGCATGCTCTCCATGCGCTGTCGACACCTCGACAGGCCGCCGGCCGCCGGCTACGACGTCCCGACCATCGGGAGACTTGCACCCCGGCTGCGCGAGCAAGGAGAGGTCAGCACCGAATGGATGAACCACATATCGGACCGACAATTGCGTCGGATGGGGCCGCATCGGCGAGGAGCGAATCGGATCGGCCACACCACGGTGCACAGCGACGTGCAAGCATGGGGCCGCGTCGGATCGTCGGAACATTGAGAACGAGTCGGATCGAGCCTGCCGAAGTCGATCTGGATTCGGAGCGATCGCATCGGAGTGGGCCTCGAATGGATGTCTGTGCCGGGGGAGAACCGTGCAAGCTGCGGGTCATCCCTCTCGGCGGCCCAGGGACCAAATCCGGGCAACATCGGTACCCGTACCCCTCCTGGGGTCCAGCTGGCGCAGTCGTTTACCCTTGCTCCGTTCTTGACGGTCCTGGAGCCCGAAAGCGGCCTACGCTAGGGCTCCCAACTTCGCGCTTCGCGCTGCGCGAAGCGCGAAGCGCGAATAACTTCGCGCTCTCGCGCCGCCCTCCCAAAGGGAGAATAGGAGGACGAGGAGGAGGGGGAGAAGGAACGAGGACCGCGAAGCGCGAAGCGCGAATAACTTCGCGCCCTCGAGGGAGCCCTTGCCTACGGGGGCAAACAACAAAAACCTTGAACCTCGAAGCAGCCCCTGCCCGAACCCAGTACCTCGAAACGGCCCGTCCTCCCTGGTAGCCGAATCTAGTGCTGGACCACCGCAGACCCCCACACGGCTCAAAAAATCGTCCTTCTCCTCCGACTCGTCCTCCCCGGACGCAGTCCGCTCGGCAGACGGGCCCCCTCGGGCCCAAACGTCTGTCGATCGTCTGTCGATCCGCGGGCCCCAAAGGCAGGCAAGACCAGAATCGAATCGATCATAAGTCGGCTCGACGATCGATGAGCCAAATCGGTGATCGATGGGTCGAATCCGAAGTCGAGCCGAACCGGAATCGGAATCCATCGGAATCGCATCGATGCGGATCGGGGGAATCCAAACGAGCCGGCGTCGCTGCCTGGGGGGGCGGAAAATGGGGGGCTCACCTCTCGAGCCCTGAAGGCTCGGGCCTCTTGAGGGGCCCTGAAAGGCTCCTCTTCTGCAGCCCTCGCTGCGCCTCCCAGTGATCGCCCTCCCACTGCGCGACGCCCAGTCGATCCCAACTCCCTCGAGGCAGGTGTCCCTGCTCCAGATCGGACTCGGAGGGCCCCGAGCCAATGGCCGCTCTGGCGGGGGGCCACTCGGAGGCCTCCCTTGGCCCTCTGGGGATTTTTCTGAGGATCCAGCGCTCCAGGAGGGGGGGGGCGGCGCAGCTGGAGGGGGGCGCCTTCCAAGAAAGGGGGTCTTGGAAGGCAGGGACCAGGGCCTTCTTAGAGACGCCCTCGTGCTTCAAGCAAGCCCTCTGTTCTTTCGCTTGTTGTCCTTAAGCAGGTTGGCAGATCGACACATGCGTTAACAACTAAACCCATCACCCTGCAACGCTTGCCAAATATCGAACAAACTCTATAGCCAAACCTGCCGTCACGAGCAAGCTTTCTTGAAATAAGCATTCTTAGACCTCTCCACACCCCTCCGCCTTCTCAGGAAACCGCCACCCCGTGCGTTGCCCCCCTGTGCGCGCCGCCAGCATGACCACTGGTATCTCTACTTACCCTTGCCTCGCGGGGGGCAAAGACGGGGGGTCGTAAAATGGGGGCTGCGTAGCAAATACACATACACGGCGCTGGTGCTTCCCGGCACCTGGAAGCGCCAGAAGCGGTCATGTCTCGAGACACATAGAAAACGGCGGCGAAACAAATCAGCTGCAAGAAACCGATTACTCAATCCTCCAGATGTCTGTCGACACGTTTAAGGGACGAGGGGATCTTGCACATTGCAAGTTCAGCCTGGAAGCTCTCTCCTCCCTTGAGGGCCCTATCTTCGACCCACCGAATCTGTTGAGCAAAGGCTGGCCGTCCAGGTATCCCAACATGTCTACTATGAAAAACGTATTTGTAGATCCACAGAACGCCCACATGACAGAAACAACGTTCATAAACAGGACACCCTAAAACAGAACTGCTTCGACCAGAGATGTCATTGAAGCACGTGCGACAGGACAGATGAGGTGTTCAACACGTTTTCTGTTGGGGCGTGGGAAGGCCCAAACGCTTTGTCAATGCTCCGAGAGGGAACTCCAGAGGAGTATCTGACTACCTACCAGACCACCCCAACCCAACCCGAAGACCCGAATTTCGGGTTGGGGGGGGTACGGGTTCCACATGTGTTTTTTCGATGTTTCCCGCCCCCCCCCCACTGGAAATCGAGGGAAAATCTGACCCTTCGGGTTGGGTTGGGGTGGTTTGGTGGGTGGTGAGTATCGGCTGAAGGGGGGAAGCAATGACCTGGAATCGGCGATGCATGGCCGAGACATCGGCGAGAGGCCCCCGACAACCAAACTGCATGGCCCTGGACGTGGTGGGTTTTCCTAGGGCTCCCAAGTTCGCGCTTCGCGCTGCGCGAAGCGCGAATAACTTCGCGCTCTCGCGCCGCCCTCCCAAAGGGAGAATAGGAGGACGAGGAGGAGGGGGGAGAAGGAACGAGGACCGCGAAGCGCGAAGCGCGAATGACTTCGCGCCCTCGAGGGAGCCCTTGGTTTTCGGGACTGTATCGACGAGGAGGAATCGATTGGGGGCCGATGCGTCACCCCCTGAGCCTGTCCCCCCCCCCCAAACGTTGCGCCCTGGCTTTCGGGCCACAAACCATGGAGGGCCCCAGGACACACCAACAAATATACACACAAAAATAATAAGATTCCCCATAGTTTCCTACATTTTCTAGGTTTTTGTCTTCCCCCCCATTTCCCATATTTTCCCATATTTTCCTTGTGTGTGTGTGTGTGTTTTCCCCCTCCTGAAAACTGCTCCCGGGCGGGCGGCCGTTCGGGACGATCCAGTTAACCCTGGGGCGCTCTCAGCGAGGCGCAGCCGCCCAAGGCCCCCCGGACGATGGAAAGCAGACGAGATCCGACGAGACCATCAAGAAACCTGGAACCTGGAAACCGTTCGCCCACTCCTGAACCGAATCCCCCCTGACGTTGCCCCTGAGTCGGGAGCGGCAAAGAGGGGGGTGTCGAAGAGGGGGGTGTGCAAATCATGACTGGCGGCATGTGCGCGGCCCAGCGGGCGGGCCGGGGACGTAAGGAAATAAGAAGAGGCGCCACGAAATCTGGGGAAATATCATGGCCCCCGCCATGATATCCACCCCCCCCTAGTCATCACCCCCCTCTTTTCCGCTCCCGACTGAGAGCCCCCCCCCGGCCGATCCTCGAAAAACGCGGACGACCTCGCCCCGGCCCCGGGAGACGCGAGCGCCGCCAGCGGGGTCCTGGCCCGGGCGGGGGGGGGGCGCTGCCGGGGCGGTCGGCGGATTCGTCGTCGGGCGTCGCCGTCGCCGTCGCCGTCGCCGTCGCCGTCGCCGTCGTCGTCGTCGTCGTCGTCGTCGTCGTCGTCGTCGTCGTCGTCGTCGTCCGTCGTCGTCGGCGTCGTCGTAGCGCTCCGGAACGCTTTGCGCATTGCTTTTTCATAAAAGATGTTAAAGGAGGTGTTTCCCTTTGAGCGGAACCTTTCGGGCTTCACTAAGGGAATTCCCGCTGCAGCGTTGGTTACATCGGATCGGTGGTTTGTTTCCGTCGTTCAAACGAGCGCTGACCCCCCGAAATCGACGCGGGATCGGACCGGGCCATGGCAAGCGCATCCAAAATTGAGCAAGCTCTCCGTTCCGACCGCGCGCGCCCCCAGTGACCTTGCCAGGCTCTTTGCGACAATCGCGGTGTTCGTAAAACGACGTTGCTGTGAGTGCGAGTTTGGGAAAAGCTTCACTCGTGCAGCTAGCAGCGGGAACTTCAATTTTATCGTCACCTCTCCTTGCGGCCTTCCTACGACCGATGAAAGACTGGAAAATATCACCAGCCAGCCAAGCAAATACCTCAGCCAGCCAGCCAGCCAGCCAGGCCAACCTCTTCATGGACATGCACATCAATACCCACATTCACATGGCGATCTTCATTTCTCTTATCCTGCTTGTTTTGAACATGCTCCAGGACTGGGATCAAACACTTTGCCTTCCGTGGCCCCGCATTTCCATCCCAGGTTTCCGTGCGTGGATTTCAAAGCAGGCCAGGACGCGCAGCCAGAACATGCTGCAAACGAACGGTGCGACGAAGCGGTCTTCACCAATTGTGCAAACATTTACTCAGGCGCCGCAGAGTGCACGAACTGATATACCACGCCACAGCATCAACAACAGATCTCTACTCTTCCCCGCTATCTTCAAATTCGACGTCACCAGCTTCTCCTCCATCATGTTCTTCATTTGCATCCCCGGGCTGTCTGCACGCATCTCAGACCAGAGAAATCAGAGGCTGCAGATTCACAAAACAATTCTATGGGCGCGTTGCACCATCGACCAGAACATGCCTCCTGGGGTCGACCTAAGATGTCTGCAAGCCTCACAACCTTCGGCGCCTGGGACTTGAAATGATCAGGGTCTCCGGGCGAATGCGTTGTGAAAATGGACGAACGGTTGGTCATGATATCAGGACGGGAACTGGGCATATCATGCATCCAGGAAGCCCATCTTGATGATGCCGAATGCTACCCACGAAAAGGTTCTGCTATGTTCTGTAATGAACGAAAGATTATATGCAGAAGCGAGATTCATAGTATCATCTCGCATTCGTTCGGCTGTTGTTGCGTTCAAAGCGCACGACGATCGCATAGCCACACTTCGTTTGAACATGGATACTGGGATGCTTACTGTCTTGTCCGTCTACACGCCACACAACGGAGCCGCCTTTCATCATACATGCATTTAAGCGCAGCTTGTAAGACCGCATTCGCCACCATATTCGCCACCACGAACAGCAATGTGAACCGATGGACGAACGAGGACTGAGACCCTGGGTCTAATCTGGTAATGAGTGCGACCACTCAAATGAAAAGCACTGGCACCACCGTGACCTTGCCGTTCACCCAATGGCGACCATCGCCTGTGCAACATCCGCGCAACTAGATCACCTCCTCTGCTACCGAAACTGCCGTTCTACGTTTCCTGACTCCTGGACGTACTGGGAGAGGCCAATCAATGGCCAACATGTTCACACGATTGCTGAATCGCCGCTTCAATTCACAGTGGACGGCAGCGAAAAAAAGCATTGAGCAAACCACCATTGAAGCGCACGGGTGCCAGACGTGAGTTGACGGATGCGTTTGAATGCGACGGCGTTCAAATTGGATGCTTAGGCGGCTGATCTTGAACAGGCTTTCCAGGCAGCGGCGTCGTCTTTACCCTGAAAATATTAATACTTTGCCCCTAGACGTCCCTCGACAAGTTCACGCACACCTGACCTCATTGGAAAACGCAAGACATAAGACTACACAAGAGATCACCAAAACGAGAATCTGCCAAAGAAACCGATTCGGCAATCAGGCAAACCAGACCGCAACAGTGGTTTGACGATGTTGTGGGCAATGGCGAATGGCATGCTGTGAAATCCGCTGGGACAGCGCGTGAATTTCAAAGAACCTATGCTACAGACTACAGCCTGAGTTTCAGCTCCGCTGGGAGGGGGGGCGGGGGGGCTCTGCCAGGGAATGGGAGCGGGCCAGCTCCGCTGATGCTCAGTTTTCATGGCGGAGCTGGGAGACGTCAAAGTCCGCCAAATTCTCACCCTGGGAGCAGAGAGCCCAAAATGGCCGCCAGATATTACTCAGACGGCTCAAGATGCGCCCAAGTTGGCCCAGGATGCCACCCAAGAAAGGCCCGAAGAGGCCCAGACCATTGATTTTTCTTTACGCTTTTGAAAGATTTGCGCGCTTCATTCTTTTCGGCCTTCCGACGGCTGCAGTGGCCCCCAAGATCGCGAAGCGCCCCCAGAGCGCTCCCAGAGGGCACAGCGAGACGCCCAAGACGGCTTCCGACGGCGCCCGACCGGTACTTACTTGCTGCTCAGAAACTCTTTCTGGTGATCAATGCTCGGGGAGACGTAAGACCCGGGTACGGGGGACTCGGAAATCCCCGACGAGGTCGTCAAAAAAATGACGAGGCCGAGCCTGCATTTTGACGAGGCCTCCCGCTGCAGACATCCCACGAAACTCCTCCTCGTCAAAATCCGAGGCGCGGTCGTCAAAAAACGATGGCGAACCCGAGTCCTGGCAAACCCGGGTCTTACGCTCCCCCGAAATGCAAAAGTCGGTTCGAACATCAAAAGTCTTGGGCCAGACTGGAGACCTGCCAGACCAAGACAGCGCCCGCAGCGCACCGGAACTGCCGCCGCGTGCGGGCCGGGTGGGCCCGCCCGCCCCGCCAAGGGGAAGGCGCTCCGTGGGTCTGGAGAGCCCCCCCCCGCGCGCGAGCGGCCACAGCGCCCACCGTGGTCCACAATGGTCCCGACACGAAAGTGGCGATGTTTCAGGCGAAGTGCTCCTCAGAACACTTCTCAGGCGGCGCGAGGGCTTCTGAGACGCCCCGCCGCCTTCTGGCAAGGCCTTCTACTCCTTCTTTCCCCCCCCCTGGCTTGCCGCCTCGCCGCCGACCTTTCCGGAAAAGGAGGAGGAGAAGGAGGAGGAGCAGGAGGGGAGTATGAGGAGGAGGAGGAGGAGGAGGAGGAGGAGGAGGGGGAGGAGGAGCCCAGGGACGACTTTTCACCCCCAGTCGTTTTGGTTGACGGGCGGCTCCCAGCGAGGGCCCCCAGAGGCCAACGACGGTGTCCCGTGCGAAATGGCGCCTGAAACGATAGACCGAACGAAACCCGACGCTGCAGCCTAACGCTTAAAACGGCATTGGTGCCAAACGAGACGAGCAGCAGAACGAGGCGGTTGAAACAACGACGAATGATGAACCGATGTAGACAGGAAACACAAAACGCACAACACAACAAAGGCTTACACATAACTAAACGGCGTTGTGGTCGGTCTTTGGGTCCCGACAGGCCCCCATAATCCCAAAGATGGTTCGCAAGATGGTGCAATGTAGCCCATGATGGCTAAACACATGGCATCGAACACAAGCTTCAAGAACGCCCAGAGACAGCCACAACACGGTTCCACGTCGCCCAGGACCCTCAACATGATGCCTCTTGGAGGTCGGGATCTTCCAAAAACCGCAGGTGCTGCATTGACTCGTTGACGTCGGCCTTCGGCCTTCTAGCCTTGCCGCTCACGATGAACGACCGAGGTCGCAAGGTGACCGCAAAGCCCAAGCCGCCCAAGGGAAACCCCGGAGGGAGCCCGAAGAACGAACCCCAGGACGGCCCCCAAGCGACACGCGGTCAGCCTTTTGGACCTCGCTCCCCCCTTCTCGCCGTGCGTCGCCGTCGGGCGGGGGGGGGAGCCCCTCTCCCCCCCCGACAAGGCCAGGGAGGGCGCGGGGCCCTTGGCCGCTGCGCCGCGAGCGCCCCCCCCCCACCCGAGGGAGCTCCTGGCGGCCTCTGCCCAGGCAGGCGCGCCGCTGGCGGCGGCCTGGTGGCGGGGGCCGGGAGAGCGTGGAGGCAACGCCTGGGGGGCCTTCGGTGGAACCCCGACTGGAGGGCCGCTTCACCGGATCAGGCCGGCTTGAGCCCGCGACCGAGCCAGATGACCCCAGATGAACCAGAATAAGCCGGATTGGCCCCGACGAAGCCGGTCATCGACCGCAGCGCCGATGCAGAATCAAACCTCCCAGGGAGGGGTCAGGCCGAGCCGATGATGCAGGTCGGGTCGGGCGGTAAGGCTGCAGGCTCCGCACAAACGGCACCCCCCGGGCAGGCCCGGCCGGCCTCGACAGGCCCCCAGAGTGGTTCGGGGCGGTCTCAACACCCTGGCGCCGCCTCCACCGGCGCACCTTGGGGCGCTCCGCGCCTGGGGGCTCGGGGGCCCGTCGCAGAACATGCAAAACATCGGATGTCTGGGATCGGATCGGCCGCGCCAGAATGCACAACGGCGCCGCGCAAGCAGCAGGCCGCATCGGCCCGTCAGAACTATCAGAATCCCTGTGGAGACCTAAAGAGATCCCCAATCGGGTCCTTTAGGATCCCATATAGAGGCCTTATAGAGAACCCGATAGGTTCACTCGGATCCCTATAAAGACCCCATGGAGATCTCTATAGGGCTAGGATCCCTATAGAGACCCTATAGAGACCGTTAGAGGGCCCCTTTCGAAACCCTATAGAGATCCGATCGAGATCCCTATGGGGCCCCCTCAAGAGCCCAGTGGAGATCCTTTCTAGAGATCCCGAATATTTCCCTATAGGACCCCTTTTAGGACCCTGTAGAGGCCCTATAGAAATCCCCACAGGGTTCCTTTAGGAAGCCTGCCGGGATCCTATGGCGATCCCTATAGGGTCCCTCTGGGAACCCTAGAGAGACCCGATAGATATCCCTAAAGGATTACTGTTGAATCCCTATCGAAACCCTGTAGAAATCCCTAGAACAAATCCGTTCGGGCCCCTATGGAAACCCTGTGGAGATCCGTATCGGGTCCTTTAGGATCCCCACAGAGACCCTATAGAGATCCCTGCCTGAAAGGAACGCTTCGGTTAGTAATAGTTAGCTGGAGTTATAACTAGTTAGTAACTCGTTATAACTAGTCCCCGTCTTGGAGTTTTTGGAGTGACATGTTCGTTTTGCTGGCTCATATTTGAGTTTTTTTTTGGGGGGGGGAACGTGCATTTTGTTTTTTTGGAGATTGCATGTTGTGTTCTTGTCATATCGATGTGTTTTTTTTTTTTTTTGTAAAATATGCGCTAATAGAACAATTTACGGTATTCCACTGGCCAAATGCACGCGATATGATCGCCAACTCTCCTGTAAACCACTGGAGATTTCAACGAACTGAAGGGGGTGAGAACGGGGTCGCGGGCATCATCGATGACATGCCTAGTAAAGTGTTCGCTCGCATGCGCGTGCTTTGTAATCAGAATCTGAACTAAGCTCTGCGGCGGATCGCCGTCGCATGTCACGTGGAACCACACTTGGACTGCAACGTGGCCACGATCGCGACCCATCAGAACTATGTCACCACGTTTGCTTTTCCCTCAATGTTCGGTGTGCGCTTCAATGGTCGAGGCTGCTGCATGCGTGCCTGGCCGCGGCCGCTGCAAAGCACTCAACAAACGTTTGCTTACAGCTGTGGCGCACTCGAACTCGCACTCCAGTGACAAGCCGCGGATGTTCTGTAGATCATGCATGTGCTGAGCAGTGAGCTGGATCATTACAGCCTTCTCGGGCCTCGTCTTGCACAGGTGGTCCTTTGCAAATCCTTTGACATGTTTGCGTTTCCGCTCTTGGACATAACATGATAAAGCACCATCCCTCTCGAACATATCAGCCAAGTGGACAGCCATATGATGCTTAAACACCGAATACTTGGCACCATATGCACGCTGGTGAAGCTCCAAATGTTTCAACACTGCTGACTCAATCTCGTCGCGCGTGCATGGCAATCGCCTCGACGCGCAGAGAATAACTTCCACGGCGTCACATAACGCCAGCATGCTTGCTATCTGGTCTGCGACTGCATCGCATGATGGTGAACTGGCAATTGCTTGCCTGATGTACAGAGCCAGCGCGGGAATCGCAGATAGCTCTTGCGAGGCACTCGCCTGGAAGTCTCCCGTTTGCCAGACTGTTGCAGCAGAGTGGTGTTTGGATGGCCACGTCCACTTCGCGATGTAATCGTGGAGGTCGCCGTTGCTGCACAAGTTCTTGACATCTTTGTGCTCTAGGAGGGCCCTGACTTTCCGATCAAACATGCCACTGACGACATATACGTGCATCCAGCCGAAGCAGAAGAATGTCATCACCAAGTATCTAAGAAACGGGTCCAGTGCGACATGCTTTGGATGGAAATTCCAACCTTTCACCTGCGTCACAGATGTGTACTGCGCGTCTGTGATCTCGTCTCGCTGGTACCTCTCCCAATCAGGGCGCAACCTCTCCAAGACCGCGACGACTGTCGCATCGGTGTTGTATACGAGTTTGCTTTTGTCTAGGCAGGTATCATCAACGTATGTCCCCGAACTGTCGAATTGCGTGTAGCCGAATTTCTTGTTAAGGACGTTCCTGCAAATTGCGCAGGGCTTAGAGCCAGCGTGCCCCTTGTTCATATGAAGCTCACTCAATGCCTCCTCGTCTCTTATAACACACGCCAATCTCGCAACGATCGTTGCGTATGTTGTTGCGTCACCCAGCGCAGATACATCCAGCGTAACCCCCGTTGCCAAAGTTAACGCCACCCGATCTATTTTTTTTTTTTAAAAAAAAAAGCTCGCCGAGCATCATGCGGATAGATTGCCCGATGCCCCCAGGCATATCTTTCACCTTGGCAACGCGCGCGGTGCTGAGGGTGAACCATAGATCTTCGTTTTGCAAATGTTCGTCAAAATCGGCAAAAGACCAGTACACAGCATCCATACCACGGTAGTCTTTGCCTTTCGCGAGAGGATCGCGTGGCGATATATCATCAAAATAAAGACTTAGGGTCCAAGGCACAACTAAAGAACATGGGTGCTTTTGCAATTGTTGGCGCATCAATGACCTGAACTGCCCGCTTTTCTTGCATATGGCGTACAAGAACGCCCCTGGGTTACACACCCAATTCTCAAATGTGGCCATCGTTATCGTCGCCAACAGGCAGCTGCACGCCATTCAATATAAGGCCATATGTGTTACGATCATTGACCACATGTTTCTCGTATGCCCTATATTGGGACCCCCGCGAGACAGCGTCTGGCAACCCATTGTCACGAACGTATGTGAGCACGTGAGACAATGCTGCCTGGGAAACACACGGGCCGCGGTGGACCCCAACTAATGCCTCGGAATGTGTTCGGGACCGCTTCGGCCGCGGACCCGACGCCGTACCAGCCAAAATGCTTACGGACTGATGCGATATGCGATGACCGCAACGCAATCGACACGAGCGAGACAGGGTGCGACGATCGCACCGTATTTGTTTTACACCACAGATGCACAAGCGAATCCATCGCTGCAACAACAAACAATGAGATGTGCTGGCCTACGACCGATCGTCGATGAACGCCAAGGCAGCGGACCACGCCTCAGCGCGCGAGCGCACGCCAGGGCCCCACTTGATCCTCTTGTCGCTCCGCCCCACTACGGGGCGATATACCTGCTTGTCGTTCTGGGTCAGGGCGTAGCCAGCCCTGTAGTGGAGGCCCCCCGCCTTCGCAGGCGGCGGCAGCACCTTCGGCTTCGCGACGTGGCTTGAAGGCCTCTTCGCGACGACCTTGCCCGTGCTATTGCCCGTGCTCTTGCTGCCCTTGCCGTGTCCCTTGCATGTGTTATGGCCTTTGTGCTTGTGTTTGATGCCCTTGCCCTTGCCCGTGCTCTTCGGCTGCTCTGCATCCTCTGATGCATCTGCTTCGGCGGCATCGGCGACCGCGTCACCAGCCGCGGCGGGGCGCTCGCGCGCGGCCGTCGCCGCGGCCGCGGCCTTCGCCTTGGTGGCGAGCAGCTTGCGCAGGGCGGCCTCCTCGTCGCTCAGGTTGGCATCGGGCTGTTCGTCATCAACGGTTGGCTCGGCCGCCGCCGACTTGCCGAGCGTTGGCTCCTCACGGGGCGGAAGCTTCGCCTTTGGTGGCTCCAGAGGGCAGCCCCCTGAAGATGCCCCTGTGTGCACCCCTGTAGACGCTCCTGCAGACCCAGCTGCATGTCCTCCATGGAGTGCCACATTGGCGAAGGGAGCCGCGGCCAACTGCCCCCCGAACATGTTCTGGCGCATATGCATCTGCCCACCAACCGTCATATCTGGCATCGCGGCCTTGGCGTGGGGGGGGGGGGCGCGACGGGCTCAACGGTGGTAGTCTTCATGATCTTGCTGGAAGACCCTCGCACGAACTCGGGCTCGTCGGCACCCGTGTCCTCCATGTATGGGCCTTCGGCGTTGTCATGCGCCTCTCCCCACCATGCCTCGCTATGCATCTGGTCGATGGTGCCGTAATCCCAGATCGTCCTGCACCCGCGTTTGGCCCGCGCTTTCGCAGCGACAGCTGCGCCCAACTTCTTCTTCACATCCTTCAATAGTTTCATCCACGCACCTGCATTGTCACATTTCCCAACGGCATGTGCCACCACAGCCGCCACTCGCGCCTTACTTTTTTTCCAGATAACGCACGCATGCCAATTAGCGCTGCACGGTTGACCGCAATGTTTACACGCGCCTTCTCTGATAAATCCCACCTTCAACTTAGCGAGCTCAGTCGCTGTGAGGCATTTAGAGAAGATGGTTACCTCCTGCCACTTCTTAGAACCGCTGGTGTATCCCAACAAGCCAGTCTTGTTACCAACGGCCGACAAAGCTGGGCAAGCTCTCGCGAGCTCCAATGGTCCAGTGCTCAAGTTTCCCAGATTGTCAACTTTGAGGAGCAACTGGTCAAATTGACCCTTGGCCACTGCGGCGGGATCCAACGCACAGCTTATCTGAGTTTGCACCCATTCGTGCATAAGGTTTAGCTCAGCGA